ATGTCAACTTTTGGGAAGATTTGGCTATCGACATTGTTCTCCACTCCTTGCCCTCATGCTACAACCAATTTAGGATGACCTACCACATGAACAAGGAAGAGGTCACCCTAAGCAAACTCCAAGGGCTCCTAAGGACTTCTGAGAGCAACCTTAAGGACAAGTCTGTTGCACCATCTCCCAATCCGTCTGCTACTCCTGTTTTGGCTATTAGGCAGGGAAGGGGAAAAAAGAGGAAGGCTTCTTCGAAGAACCACCGCAAGGGAAAGTCCCAAGATGGTTCATCTTCTAGTGGGACCAAGGTTGATTCTGCTAAGCCCAACCCTAACCCAAAAGAGGCAGAGTGTCATCATTGACGCAAAATAGGGCATTGGAAGTGAAGCTACCCGGAATATCTGCAAGCCATCAAGGATGGAAAGATCAAGTCATCGTTCGCAGGTATTTACACAATTAAATCTAATGATTCATCCCATTTTATTTCTTGGTTTCTTGATACAAGGTGTGGTTACCACATTTGTTCAGATTTGCAGGGACTAGGAAGAAATAAGGATGTGGAGCTTGGAAGAATAAATCTAATCATGGGGAATAGAAGATCGTCGCCTGTTACCAAGATTGGAGTGTATTCTTTAGTGCTTAGGAATGGATTGAATTTAGATTTAAATAAATGTTGCTACTCGCCAAATATGGCAAGAAACATCATTTCTTTTCATGGTTTGTTTAAACAAGGTCTTTTTATTTAAAGATTGATACACCGATGTGTGTTGGCCCTTTAGATCTACCACAAAGGATGGGAACCACTTCTATGTGACTTTTACCAATGATTATAGTAGATATGGGTATATCTAATTAATCAAGCACAAGTTAGAAACGTTTGAAAAGTTCAAAGAATTCAAACATGAAGTGGAGAATCAATTGGGCAGGAAAATCAAGATGCTTCGATCCAATCGAGGAGGAGAGTACCTAAGTCTTGAATTCCACGACTATCTTAAGGAATGCGAAATAGTTTCGCAATTGATGCCACCTAGGACACCACAGTTGAATGGTGTGGCAGAAAGGTGTAATCAAACCCTGTTAGACATGGTTCGTTCTATGATGAGTCGTGCTTCACTACCTATCTCATTCTGGGGGTATGCCTTAGAGACTGCCGCCCATATCCTTAATCGAGTCCCTACAAAAAAGGTTGCCAAAACACATCACGAGATATGGACAGGGAAAGCTCCCTCATTAGCACACATCAAGGTTTGGGGTTGTCAAGTTTTTGTAAGACGAGAGACTCACGACAAGCTCGAACCTCGTAGTGAGCGATGTATTTTCATCGGCTACCTGCAGAAATCCTTTGGATATCTCTTTTATAGACTGAGTGACAATGTTGTCTTCATTGAGAGGAGAGGGGTTTTTCGAGAGCGAGAACTCATAAGACAAGGAGACAGTGGGAGGAAAATCGATCTTGAAGAGATTCAAGAGTCGAGCGATGAAGGAACCTCTAACGTTGGTGCTCAACCCGAGGAGGAAACTCTGGTTGAACCGATTAACTAATCCTTACCTCTTAGACGTTTCGAAAGAGTTAGAGTTCAACCCCAATTGTATGAATTTCATATTACTACCGAAGGGGACACGTATATTAGTGACAGTACACTAGTAAATCTAGATGAACCTAACAGCTATAAGGAAGCCATGGCAAGCCCGGAGTCTGCTAAATGGAAAGAGGCAATGGACAGCGAGATTCAGTCCATGTATGACAACCAAGTTTGGAATTTGGTTGACAATGTGCCCGGACGTAAGACGGTTGGGTGCAAATGGATCTTCAAGAAGAAGACCAATGTGGATGGGAATGTGCACACGTATAAGGCACGACTAGTGGCGAAGGGCTTTACTCAAACTCCCGGAGTTGACTATGATGAGACCTTCTCACCAGTCGCTAAGATAAAATCTATTAGGGTGATGCTAGCCATTGCTGCATTTCATGATTATGAGATATGGTAGATGGATGTCAAGACCGCTTTCATGAATGGGAAGTTGGCTAAGGATGTTTACATGGCTCATCCAGAAGGTTTTGTCGATCCGAAGCATCCTAATAGAGTGTGCAAACTTGAGAAGTCCATTTATGGACTTAAGTAAGCATCTCGCAGATGGAATCTTTGCTTCGATGAGAAAGTCAAAGAGTTTGGATTTGTACGAAGTGAAGATGAATCGTGTGTATATGTCAAATCCAGTGGGGGTATAGTTAGCTTCCTCGTTTTGTATGTCAATGACATACTGCTCATAGGAAACGACGTCCCGCTTTTGCAGGAGGTTAAATCCTGGCTCGGGAAGTGCTTCGCTATGAAGGACCTCGGAGAGGCTTCCTATATTTTGGGAATAAGGATAGTGAGAGAAATAAGTAAGAGACTAATAGGACTTAGTCAGAATACTTACTTAGATAAAGTACTAAAACGTTTTAGTATGGAACACTCGAAGAAGGGAGAACTACCGATACAAAGTAATGCCAAGTTGAGTAAGACTCAAAGTCCGAGTACCGAAGCCGAGATAGCTGAGATTTGCCGAGTACCCTATGCTTCCGCAGTTGGCTCAATCATGTATGCTATAACTTGTACTCGCCCTGATGTGGCCTTTGCTTTGAGCATGGTCAGTAAATATCAAGGGAACCCTGACAAAGCTCATTAGATTGCAGTCAAGAATATACTTAAGTACCTTCAGAGGACCAAGGAATGGTTCTTAGTCCTCGGAGGGAGTGATGAATTAAAGGTGTGAGGGTATAGTGATGCCAACTTCCAAACTGACGGGGACAACTACTATTTCCAGTCGGGCTGGGTCTTTACCCTTAATGGAGGAGCAGTGACTTGGAAAAGTTCCAAACAAGAGACTGTAGCTGATTCAACGTGTGAATCAGAATACATTGCAGCGAGCGAAGCGTCAAAGGAGGCGATGTGGTTGAAGAACTTCATTGGTGACCTTGGAGTTGTGTCTGCTATAAAAGAGCCTATGGAAATTTTCTATGATAATGAAGGAGCAGTTGCCTTGACCAAGGAACCGAGGGATCATGGTAGATATCAACATATCGATAGAAAATATCACTTTATTAGACATCGAGTAGAAGAAGGACACTTCGTAGTGAAGAGGGTATCGTCAGTGGATAACCCATCAGATCCGCTTACGAAGGGACTGAGTAGGGTTAAGCATTTGCAGCACGCTAAGCGCATTGGGCTGAAAGACGATATTAGTTTAGATTAGATAGTTTTGAAACATGTAATAGATAAATGTAATTGACATTTGATGATTAAATAAAAGAATATTATTTATAAGTAAAGTTACTGTCTTATGTTAATTGTTTAACTATTGTTTCACTTTGCATGTTTTGACTTCCTGAATAATTAAGTTATTAAGAATAACCGAATTATTCGAATGGTCCATAATCGTTCATATGTTGGAAGTAGGTATGAATGAAGATTGTCGTGAATTGGTGTGTAGATTGTCTAAAAGAGTATTAGACATAACAAAGGTTTGCTACAACGTTCATGAGTGCTTATGAACAAGTTTTGAGCATTGGAATAAACCCGCGCTTGCTGGAATCACCTTTTGGAATATGACACAAGTGATCGCAAGACGATAATATCATATGGTCTTAAAACCGAGATATATGGTTTATTGTTTATTAATTAATTGTGCATTGACAAGGCGAAACCGCATCTGTAAATTGATGTCATAAAACACATTGTTTTGTATAGTTGATTAGTAATTAGTAAATGCATATAAGTCAAAGTTTATCTGTTATTTTTATCCTAAGAGAATAAAAGCGATATCACGCCCACTCGATGATTTGATTTTGACTTATGTGCTGGGCTCGGTCAGGACTGAATTGATGTGTTCAATTAAGTTCTATGTCAAATGAATCTGAGATCGAGAAACCAAATGCTGGACAATAAGTTCCATAAGATTGTCCGCATAATATCTAAATAGAGGACTGTATGATCCCTTATCTAAAGGATAGGAGATTGATAAGATCAGAGTTGATAGCATCTTTGAGAGCTACGATTGCTAATCGGTTTGTGTTTGCATATATATATTTACTAGAATTATCCAAGTGGGAGACTGTTGGATTAGTGTCTAAGGTTGTAACTATATTTGGTAAGTACTTGACCTGGTTGTGCATGGTCCTTTTGGGTTGCCTTCACCATAGCAACTTGACAGGATGATTTGTTAAGAGAGAAGAAATATTATTGTTAATATATTATGAGAATAACATATTAAAGGATTGATAATGTTATTTGATTAATATAAGTCATATATTAATTAAGAATTAATTTGGTGACTTAAAGAGGTTAATTGAATAAAGGGGCATAAACTGTCAAATGTGTGATAGTTGTGTTTTAGGCTATGTATCCTTATAGATAATGGGGTGGACAAAATTTAGGGTTTGGGAAACTTAAATTCGTCCAAGCCTAATATCTAGGAGGATCTTGGATTGCTTAGGGCCTAAGTTATTCAATCAGGGTTAAAGGTGAAACCATAGTATTCCATAGTATAAATAGACCCCTAGGGTGAGGAAAATCGACACTCATGCAAGGCAAGAAACCCTAGGGCCGATTTCTCACCCTCCTTCCTCTCTCTCAAATCATCTTCTTGCTAGTTGGTGTTTGTAAGCCATTAGAGGAGTGACAATTTTGACTCTAAGATCCAAGAAGAAGAAGTATCTAACAAGCAACTCAAGGTATTCTTCTAGATCTATTTTTCATATGCTATGAATTGTTTGTTTACACTAGATCTATGAATGAAAGTCTTGGATACATGCATGTTCAATTAGAGAAACCTAGATCCAAGCAATTAGGGTTTGCATGTGCACATAGGAAAGTTCTTATGGCTCAAACCCATCAGAAATAACAACTGTGCCTCGCTCCTCATCTTCCAAGGCTTATGCTTCGGGCTGGGTAATTATCGGGGATTCTTTACTAACAGATGATGCCAGTGCTAAAAAATGGAGTGTCTATGCTCATTCCCCAACTACAATGAGATTTGTTACGGAAAAATCAGGGGTTCAAGTTGCCGGTAACCTTCGTTATGCTACGATCCAGGCTTCTGCTCTAATGGTTGCAGCTGTCGATCGCGTTTGTCGTGCCAGGGTGACCAAAACATAGCTGAGACCTTTGCGCAGTACCATTGTAAATCCGAAGGAGGAACTCTAGGATGCAGAGGCTGAGTGTCGCATTCTTTCTGAACAGAATTACGTTGTGGCCTGCGAGAAGACCATTCTGAAGGATCAAGTGCTAACTTTGGAGAACCGAACAGAGCGCCTTGAGGATCAAGTAAGATCTCTAACCCGAGAGAAGAATGTGCTGCCAAATAAATTGGCCCAGTGCCAATGTCAACTGGCTCAAGCACGTGTTGATGGTGCCATTGCTTGGGGTGATTTGCAATGGGTGCTAGAGAAGGGAGTGGTTCGTGTCCTTGACAGGGTTATCGACAACACCGAGTTTGCTAGAGGGATTAAGGGTGTTTCCAAGGCATGTGAAGCCCTTGGATTTGAAAGGGTAAAGCAACTGAGCAGTTGTTCCACAACTTCTGGTAGGTCTGGGGCCTTGGATCCTGACCATGTTGCGAGAAAGGCTGAAGAGGTGGATAATACCCTTGTATCCCTTGCTGAGATGGACTTTACTGGCCTCTTCCATTTGGGGGAGCTGGATTACAACGGCTTCCGCTAGTTTTGTGCTAGACTAGGTTTGGGAAGTTCTTCCTCGGACTTCGAAGGCTAATTCTTATTTATCTCTCTCTTGGTGGTTTTGTAACGGATGTGCGTTCTCATGCAGACTGTACTGTGGACTGTATTGTATGGTCTAGCTGCTAATACATAGGTCGATATCGTCACATCGAGGCCTTATATTGTTGTATTATCAGAGGAAAGGTTAAGAATCTTTTAGAATCCCTTTTCTTGTGCCTTTAATTGGAATTTGGACATTCTCAGCTTTGAAATGTTATTGGCACATTGTAGGTAAAGATTATGACTCTTTTAAGACATACGGTTGCATTCTTACATAGATTTTTCTCGAGTGGCATAGGTGATTAGCCGTTGTCGCTACTTGGAAAATATACACAGCCCCTTTACTTTATTTTTTTGCAATTTAAATAGAGTTCTGGAAAGCTCTTTCGGAATGAAAATTGTATTAATTCTTTAAAGTGAAAGGAAGGACATAAATTGACAGACACATGATATCTAAACACCAGGGCGCATGCCCGGCTTTCACGCCAACGCCGGAAGTATGGTTATCTTATGCGAAGTTAGACCATACTTCTTGTTTAGTGGTGACATCCTTTTTCACCTGATGTATGTGAGTCCTCGTAGGTTAAGGCTTCCTCCTGCTTCCCCCAATGGAGCCCAGTGTGAGCGAGTTACATTCAGCTTCTCGCGCCTTGGGGGTACTTTTTCCTTCCTTTCTTTTTGGTCTGATGAGTGGTGCGACCGTGGAAAGTGCTTCACCTTAATTGGGAAAGGGTTCCACCAGTGCATTTCTGTTCCCCTATCCCCCTTGCATTGGGAAGTGTTACCGGAGCTGCCATTTTGATTTCCAAAGGTCTTTGTTGGTGCTCGTTTTTGAGAAATTTTTAAAAGGAATGGAATTTTGCTCCTGTTGATGGTGCTTCTTGTGTTTGCCTCCTCTGTTTAGAGAAACTTTGGTTCACGTTTGTCATTGGACAAGGTTTGCTCTGAACCCGAAATTGCTATTTTTCCAGGCTTGGCGTGGTCGTCGGGTATGGGCCAGGCAGGTGCCTTTGCTTGTGGCCGAGCGTTTCTTTGCTGTTCACTTTTGACTCACTATTCTGGCCAAGCAACCCTTGTATCAATGCTAGTTTCTTTATGCGGTAGACATGGTGTGAGTCGACTAAACGCATCTCATTCTCTTTTTGTGGACTTATGGGTCGGCACTTGTGCATCAACGATCTCCAGTGGGGATCTTTTATCCTTTGGCGACTCTCGTTTTGACATGATTGAGTTTCTTGCCTTGCTCCCCATTGAGCACCATGCTTGTTGGTTGGCTTGGTCGCCATTACTGTGGCTAATTCATCATTTGTGCTGAATTTAAGGATGTCGTGGAAGGTAGATGGAATCGCTTGCAACTGGAAGAGTGCGGTCGACCTAGGAGAATATTGTGCTCAGCCGGATAATTAACAACCAAGAAGTCAAGCACCCGTGTTATCTCCTTCGCCCGTCATGACTTGCCAACGTGAACTGTAACACCCATGTTTCTGGGCTAACCACTAAAGATGATGTAATAGTCTAGGATAACCTATGTAACTCATTTTGAAGTAATAAAGTGGAATTATGTGAATAATGTGTTTATTTGCTTAATTATTATAATTTAATGAATTAAGAATAAAAATGAGTGTCGAAAATAAATATTAGATAAGTCCAATATCTATTAAGAAAGTTGTAGTGGTTGAAATAAGGATTCCGAAGATATAAAGAATACCGAAATTCGAGTTATAACGAAGAAGTTATGACATGTTGAAGTTTCACGATAGAACCGGCACAATGTTGTATGACGTAAAAAGTGAATTTTTGTTAAAGTGCTTTTTAGCCTTAGTGATCTATGGCACGAAGTGCAAACTTTTCACTGATCATAAGAGTCTCCAATATCTCTTTAATCAGAAGGAATTAAATATGAGACAATGACGTTGGCTGGAATTACTCAAGGACTACGACTGTGAGATACTTTACCACCCCGATAAAGCCATTGTTGTTGTTGTTGATGCTCTCAGTCGGAAGGTAAACCTTGAAAAGAAAAGGCCAAGAGTGTTGAGAATTGAATTTGTCTCAACAATTGTTGAGAGTATAAAGAAAGCTCAAGAAGAAGCTTTAGAGAAGAATGATCGAAAGGGAGAACGTTTGGGCAAAATGTTAGTGTTCGGTATAAACAGTCAAGGACTGAAGGTATTCCAAGATCGAATTTGGGTACCTAAGACAAGAGGAATAAGAGATCTTCTGATGGAAGAAGCTCACAAGACCATATACTCGATTCATTCCCGGCAGCACGAAAATGTAAAGGGACCTGAAACCCTATTACTGGTGGCCGACGATGAAGCTCGATGTTGCAAAGTATGTGGCCGAGTGTGTGACATGTGCGAGGGTTAAGGCACAACATCAGAAACCGTATGGGAGTTTAGAACCTTTCCCTGTACCCATGGGTAATTGGGAAGACATCACTATGGATTTTGTCACTAAACTTCCTAGAACAAAGAACGGTCACGACATGATTTGGGTGGTCGTTAATCGTTTAACTAAGAGTGCGCACTTCATACCAGCCAACGAGAAATGGTCTATGGATAAGCTTGCGAATTCTTACGTGAAGGAAATTATGAGGCTTCATGGTGTTCCTTTAACTATTGTATCAGATCGTGATAGTCGTTTCACGTCGAGGTTTTGGAAAAGTCTAATAGAGGAATTGGGTAGAAATTATGTCTGAGTACAACTTACCATCCGCAAACTGATGGTCATAGCAAACGAACGATTCGAACACTAGAGGTTATGCTGAGAGCATGTACCCTAGAATTCCAAGGTAACTGGGATGAACACTTACCTTTGGTAGAATTTTCCTATAATAATAGTTTCCACTCAAGCATCAAGATGACACCTTATCAAGCCTTGTATGGAGAAAAGTGTCGAACGCCGTCGTGTTGGCTTTAGGCTGGAGAAAAGCAGTTTATGAGACCTGAAATAGTCCATCAGATTGCTGAAAAGTTGAAAGTGATTAGGGAAAGGATGTTAGCAGCCCAGGATCGTCAAAAGGGCTATGTTGACAAGAAAAGAAAACTGATAACATTCGAAGTTGGTGATTCAGTTTTGCTTAAAGTCTCTCCTTGGAAGGGACTTATAAGATTTGGTAAAAAGGGAAAGTTAAGTCCAAGATTTTATTGGACCGTTTAAAGTTATTCATAGGATTGGGAATCAAGCTTACAAGCTAGAATTACCAGAAGAACTAGATGATATTCATAACACCTTCCATGTGTGTTACTTGAGGAAGTTCACGGGAGATGTTCCCGACATAATTCCAATTTCAGAATTAAGATTGGATGAAAGCAAGAGGTTAATTGAAGAACCAGAGGCAATTTTTGACTGTAAGATTAAGAAGTTGCGATGCAAGATGGTCAAACTAGTGCATGTCCGTTGGAAACATTCGAATGGGCCAAATCTCACCTAGGAAACGGAGAGTGACATGATGAGTCGCTATCAACATTTGTTTTGATGTATGATTCCAAGGATGGAATCATCCTAAGGGGGAGAGAATTGTAACTCCCGTGTTTCTAGGCTATGCACTAAAGATGATGTAATAGTCTAGGGTAACCTTTGTAACTCATTTTGAAGTAATAAAGTGGAATTATGTTAATATTATATGAATTATGTGTTTATTTGCTTAATTATTATAAATTAATGAATTAAGAATAAAAACGAGTGTCGAAAATAAATATTAGATAAAGACGATATCTATTAAAAAAGTTGTAGTGGTTGAAATAAGGATTTCGGAGATATAAACAATACTGAAATTCGAGTTATAACGAAGAATTTATGACCTGTCGAAGTTTCGCGATAGAACCGGCACAACGCTGTATGATGTAAAAAGTGATGGGTTTTGGCCATACGAACATCCTATGTGCTCATACAAACCCTAATGCTTGGATCTAGGTTTCTCTATTGTACATGCAATTCATCCAAGACTATAAACCCTAGATCTAGTATATGATAATCAATATAACACATAAATTAGGGTTTAGATCATACCTTGATTGTTATGTAGCAATAACAAGCTCAAATTCTTCTTGTGTTGACTTTAGAAAGCTTAGAGTCACAAATGTCAGTCCTCTAATGGTTCACAAACACCAAGATCAAGATGATAAAGAAGAGAAGAGAAAGAGACACTCAAAAAACGTGTAGAAACCCTAAGGATTTAGTTGCCCACGTTTTTGGTGCCCAAGGGGTCCTTAAATAGTGAGGCTATTAGGGTTATCTAACAAGGAAACCCTAATTTGGATATTAGGCCCTAAGCAACCCATGAACCCCTTACTTAAAGGCCTTTGGACGATTTCTAATGGGTTTCCCATAGAATTCGTCCACCCCCCCTTAATATGGAGTCCATTACCTCAATATTCAACTATTATACAATTAACAGTTCAAGTCCTTTAAGTTTAATTAATGTCTTTTAGCCACAAACTTAATTCTTATTCATTCTTGACTAATATTAATTAAACAATATGATTTCTCCTTTAATATATTATTCTCATAATATATTAATAAAGCATATTTAATCCTTTCTCTCCATAATTCATCTTATCAAGTTGCTTTGGTGAAGGCAACCCAAAAGGACCATGCACCATCGGGTCAAGTACATACCAAAATAGTTATGGACTTAGACACTAATCCAACAGTCTCCCACTTGGATAAGTCTAATAACTATTTCGCGTATGACTTCAGATCCTGATCTGCAATCATAGCTTTCCAAAGCCGTTGTCAACTCTGATCTAATCAGATATGCGTGTCCTTAAGATAAGGGATCATATATTCCTCCATTCTAGATATTATCGTATAGACTGAGACATGGATCTAAATCATTCTCTCTATCTATGTGATGTTTCCCAAATTCAGATTTATGACGACTGACAACAAACTACAATTGAACACATCAACTTAGTCCCGACTTGGCCAAGCGCTTAC